TTCTCTCTCCGCAGGGTCTTCTGTTGCAGCCAGCAGCTCAACAAAAGCATTCTTGTCCTCCTTCGACTCAACATACATGGGGGTCCTATATCCAAACCGATCTAGCCAATTCATGGCTTCCATCTGAATTGAGATGCCACCAGTCTTGCTGGATTCCCCTCTTTCTGTCTGACGTTTGTGCAATCTGTCACCATCTTCTGATTCTATTTCTTCTTCTTCTTCTTCCACTGCCTTCAGCTCTTCCTGCAGTTTTCTTTCTTTCTCCTTCATTTCTTTTTCTATTTTTTCTCTTTATTCCTTTATTTTCTTTACCTCTTCTTCTTTCTGTTTCTTTTTTAATTCTCTCTTTCTGTTTCTCTGCCATGTGGCGATCTACTTCTGCCTGTTCTGCTGCAGACAACCCTTGCTTCATTTTACCTGATCTCATCATCATATGGGAGGAGCACACCCTCCCGAAGCCAAGGGGAAAGAAGAGGTTGTACAGTGGCCCCAACAGAATGGAGAGGGCCACCATACCGAACATTGGATAGTCATCCATGATGGGGTACAGCACAGGGGTAGCCTCCGCTGTCCCACCAAACAGGTACCCGGAACCTAGTCTACTTTCCGAGTGGATGGTTTTTTTTTTTTTTTTAAGTCTGGATGTCGCTGCTTCCGAACAACAAAATTTGATAATGCAGAAGATATATAACGTTTTCCTAATCAATATACAAAATAGGACCTTTTTTTTTTTTTTTCCCCTTTGTTTGCTGTCTGTTTAGTTACTTAGCTGGTCTATGCCTTCAATTGTTTGTCTGGTCACTTTCGTTAGAGAAGGAAGCTGGGAGATACTCAAACTTACTTCAAAATCAAATCCAAATAATCACGAGTTTCCCTGTTCTCGGCCATTTACACTCTAACGTGGCAGTACACAGTTCCCTGACTCAACCTGCCTTCCCTACCTATCAACAGACCAGATAGATAACACGAAGGAAGACCTGATGTTGACTCTCTAGACCTATCTGTCTAATCAGACCAGGCCACAGGTTTCATCCAGACAGCAGCAGCGACCACCAGAAAGGAGGGGGAAGAGATACACGACGCACAGATTTGCAATCAAACGAGGTAAGTGGGGCAGGAGGTTCTTCTCTTCTTTGTAGCCGTTGAGGAAGACTCCACGCTCGCTCCAATCGCTCCAATCTCAGGTAAGTCTTCTCCTCACTAGCCCCTTCTTCTTTGGCAAACTTCCCCCTCTATCCCAATCCAACACCTCTTCACCTCACTTCTTACTTCATCTCTCGCCAGCTTATCCTTCTCGCCGGCCTTGATCATGCCAGCGCATCCAGTGAGAGTAACCAGTTCTGCTCCGATACCAATTTCGCAAGGAACCTGACTGTTCATCGCTTGCTGGAGTGCATCAGACCACATGCATATACATTGATTTTACAGATTGCAAAGTCTCACACAAAATCCAATAGAAGATGAATGAGAACCAGGAAGCTCAACTCAATTATCAAACCCAGAATTAGAGAGAGAACACTGTGAGTTCAAATTGTATAGCGCTGAACAGAGTTACAACTCTTTCTTCAATCATCATGAGTTCCAAGCCTGGCGCTCATCAGCGCCAGCTGCCAAACGTCAACAACAGCGCTCAACAGGTAAGTGTCACCATAGCTCACACTTCCCCCTCTCTCGTCTTCCTTCTTCTCTCTCTCCTTCTATGTCTATAGTCCTGGTCTACCCTCGCTCATCATGCATGCACACTCCCTATCACACGAGGATCTACTCTGAATACTACTCACTGGTATCTCCTACTGACTATCCCTTCTAACATACTAACTGGCGCTGGCGCAGCTATGGCTACCTTCCCTCTAGCCAGCACTCTCTTCCTTTCCAAATAGTGCTGCTCTTCAGCCTAGCACTGCTCACACACATCTAGCGCACAAGTGCCACGACACTTCCACACTCTCATGCGAAATGAGCCTCTGTCCAAATGGGAGATTGGCCAGTCCTTTATAGTGCTGGACTGGTTTGGCGTGGCCTGCGTTCAGCCTCAAGTGTCCCTGGGACTCCTGCCCAGTACCCGTTGTTGCAAAGTGTGTGTCCCAGTATCTTTTCCCATGTCTGCTGCTGCTTTGGGCCATCGGGCCTGTCTTTTGGACTCCTGGTCTGAATCAGGACTGACTCGTGGGATTATGACTGAAGTGGGACTGTAGCCTTTGACTTATTACCGAACAGACATGACTTTTCAGCAAGGAGACATGACCCTTACTCAGTCTTGAAAACTGTGTCCAATAACTGTTCGTGCAGGACCTGTTTGTGACTGTCGAAACAACTTTTCATTTCATTATGGATGTGACATATGCCTCAGGGAACTTTGTCTTTTGAGTTGCTGCTCGTGAATTTAAGTTCTGGCCGACAGGGCCCCTCACTGTTGGGGTGTTCTTCTGGGGTCTAATTCGTAAAGGCCCTTTTAAGTGTGGGCCCTGTGGGGTAATCAAGGTCTGATTTTGGGTGACGAGATACGTACGTGGTGCATGAAGAGAGGTCGGCTATGGAGTTGACAGTCATGTACATTGGTCTTTGAGAGTCGAAGTGAGCCTGTTGCGTGAACCAGCTGTAGGTAGGATAGTCGGGCGAGTAGGTTGGGCGCTAGGCGCCAGACAGAGAGGAGCAACTTTGGATACTGTGTTGGTATGGCCTACGGGCTTGCACATTGGCTCATTACTTCATTGTATTGCTCTATATGGATGATTTCTCGGTGTATTTTGTACTCTCTGCTTGGATACGACGACTTGGACATTTGTGTGATTTCGCAACTTGGTTTTCTGTATATCGTTCACACTCATATTCCTTGCAATAGGATTACCCTGTGACTTGAGCATTGATTCCCTCATCCCCGTAGAACATCAATAGTATTGCCCTGTTACCTGTTACTTCAGCCTTGTAGAACCTCAGCTACCCTGTCACCTGAACATTGATACCTTCACCCTTGTAGAACAACAGTAAGATTACCCTGTTACTTGCAATACTCCCCCTTTCCTTTTCTGACCAGTGATCGGCCCCATCCCGTCCTTCACGGTTGTTCATCAGGTCTTTGTCAGCCAGGACGTTGCCTCCCAGTGGGAGGGTATAGTGTTACTGACTCAGCCAGGGCTCGATCCCTGGTCCGCGGGTTACCACCCGCCAGGCTGCTATTTCATTTTTGGGTTTCTGTTCTCAGGCCCCTGACTGTTGGCACCCTCTGAAGTTGGCACCCGTTCTCAAATTCCTCCTTTGGCACTTTCGGACTTCGATATGTGGCGTTATCCGGCATTCTGGTGCCCAGACTCAGACCTTCGATTTTCAGCTCAGCCCCGAGCCAAATTGCACTTCTGCCCTCGGGACTGAACTTGAGTCCGGTACTTAAGACCGGACTCAAGCCCAGTATGGGCAACCAGTTTTCAGCTACTGTGCTTGCTTTGTGTGACTTGCCTCTCCGGCATCGAGATTTGAAGACTTCAACTTTGAGACTCCGCTACTTTGTCTGCGTCCGTCGAGTCCGTCAGTCTTGTCGAGTGAGTGAGTGTGCTCACTCACTCTCTCTCTCTCTCTCTCTCTCTCTCTCTCTCTCTCTCTCTCTCTCTCTCTCTCTCTCTCTCTCTCTCTCTCTCTCTCTCTCTGCCTCTCGCTCGTTACATAATCCCCCCAAAAAGATTCGGAACCCACCCCACCACCACCTCACACCCAAAAAACGTTTGCTGGTTTCTTTTTTTTTCAACCTGTGAGGGGTGCCCCTGACACTCGCATCGCCCCCCTGCCTCCGGTTTGCTGAGGCCCCCCCATGAAGGTCCCTGAAACGGCTCGGACGGCCATACGTATGGTGGGGCACATGTTCGAATGGCTGTTTCGGTTGTACGGATGGGCTGGTCCACAGCCCGGTACTGTGTGGCACCGGGACTACCAGTGTCCTTTCCCTTTATCTGCTATTACAACAGTATACAACCCATCTGCTATCATGCCCGGCAACCAGGCTAGCTAGCTAACTGACCCTACCGTGGAGAACCCACCACCTAGCTCCTACTGGAACCTGTGTACTCCTGGTACGTCCCCTTATAAGGCCTAGAACTACCCCCCCCCCCAAAAGCCACCTGACACCCTCTAAATTACGGCCACCCATCCCCTGAACCATCTATTATACTCAGAGCCTACAGATGACCTGAACTCTGAAAAATTAGCAGACCTTTGGTAAGTATGTCCCATGCTTCACCAAAGGTTCTGGTTGGAACTCGGTGTGAACATGAGACATTGGTCTGATGTCATCAGCTGAGCTTTTTGTTACTCACTGTTTATGCGATCCCCTGCTTGACCATTACTGCCGTTCAGCCCTATACAAAATAGTGAGAATGTTTTGCAAGGAACAAATAAGCTGACATGGTCTGGCCACATTTTCTAGAAGCAGAACTTTCAGAGCTTACGAATTTGTGTCCATGGTTGTATGCAATGCAGTCATAGAACTACTGTTGTCATCATTTACGTAGTTGTCATCAGCAGCTGAAGGTTTTTGCTACTCTCTGTTTATGTGATCCCCTGGTTGACCATTTGATGTCCTCTGCTTTCTTCACCCTCTCTCTCACAGCATAGTGTCTCTCTCGCAGCATAGTGAAGTGGTATGAATGGTACCTCTAGTCCCTCATGCTCTATCTCTGGCTCCCGGCACACAGCCCTACCTTTCCATCTTCGGACCTATCTTGTGTGTCTTGCCCTCGTATCCCCTTCTCTTTTGCCCCTTTCTTCCAATCCCTCCCTCTGTCTTCATCCTTTCTCTCATTCTTCCTCTGTCACCCTTCCTACATCCTACTCACGAGCCTCCTCTCTGTTCTTCTCTTTCTCTGTTTGTTCTTGCGATCGCAGGCACCCGATGACACAAGCAACTTTGATGACTACTCAGCAATGGGGCCAATGCACCATGAATTCGTTTTGTCCCAAGCAGAGCAGGAACTGTTTAAGGATTTCTAGATAACTTCAAGAATTTGCTACGGGTCAGCTTATCAGCATGGAATATACAGCAGTGGAATTTGCTTGTCTGATGTCAGCCAATGCAATATTCCCAACTTCAATGAGCTCCCGTTTGCTACTGGTATTTGAATTCAGGGATGCCACCACCTCGCTTAACCAGTCATTCCTATGAATCTTCCTGCCACTCACCCTAGCTGCCCTACCCATCAACCTCGTCATGCACATGGAGTCAAGACATCAGGAATCTGCGTGTCTAGTACTGTCTACTATGCATCAGCACGCCAGGATAGCATGTTATTCCTTAGGGTTCCAGAAGTCTATATTGACTGCAAAACTCAGCAAGGTTCCTTCTGCGCTGTGCAAGCCACACGCACTCTTTCTCGAGTCATTTAAGAACCTTTCAGAATGGCGGATGCCTTCAAATGCGTTCAAATGGCGGAATATCCATTGACGATTTCAGTGCTATCTCCGGATGCCTCAAATGCGTTCAATCTTCTCAAATGCGTTCAATCTTCTCAAATGCGTTCAATCTTCGGAATATCCTCAAATGCGTTCAATCTTCGGATGCCTTCAAATGGCGGAATATCCATTGACGATTTCGTTTTGTCCCTTGTTACTTCAGTGCTAAGCTTTTTGGCAATTTTGAAAATCCTACAGGGGCTCCCCAGGCAAGTTGTTCATCATGCCACACTTTCTGCTTTGAGGTCCATCCTCACTCGTCGTCATAGTTGCTGCATGCTGCTTCCCACCCGCCGCATTAGCTACTACGCCTGTTCTCGACAGGTAATGTCTTCATTTCAATGTCTCTCCATGGTTTACTGCAGATAGTTCACATAGTCTAATCTCAAACTCGCCATACTTTTTGATGTCTTCCATTCGGAATTACAAAAGATTGTGCTTTTACACTGCTGGCCACTGAACGCATGTGGAGTTTAGCCAGGTCAGCTATCAATGTCCTGATGATTTGCACAGGAAACTACACATGCATATTGGAATTGCGAATCCTGAAAGCAGCAAGAGGACAACATAGCCCAGGCTACAAGTTACAATGTGGCGTGTTAGCTCTTTTGGATTCTCAATTATGTGGCCATGTTCTCAGACAGGGCTTGCAAGCAGACAAGAATGGCTTTAGCACTCTTCCAGGTGTTGCGTATCAGCATGCTATGCACATCATCCACTTCCGGATGCAGATTTTGTGAATTTGGCTGAAACCTAGGTTGTGCTATGAGATGGCAGCCCTTGGCTGGCCCAGTAGACAATTCTGTTACTTTTAGGTAGAGGAGAAGCACAAAATTGAGCGCAGGGGAATGGTTTTGGCACTCTTCCACACACACATCTTTCATCTCGAGATGCAGATTTTGTGAATTTGGCTTAAACCTAGGGCGTGTTAAGAATTGGCAGCTCTTGGATGGCCCAGTAGGCAATTCTGTCACATTTAGGCAGAGGAGCACAAAGACAAGCGCAGGAGCGCATCACAGGAATTTAACTATAGACGAGTGGTTACAAGATCGTGTTAGTGTCATGAAGGTTTCCGTCACATTTGAGAGACCATATGATTCCTGCTTGTCACAGAAGATCCTGAAAGGTCGTTTCTTTCCTTATTTTAATGCTGCCTGCACATTCCAGTAAGGGAAGTCGTAGATTTGCAGTATGAAAGTGTTGCCTTTGTCTTACAATTTTTCTTTCAGTTTCCTGCATGTCATTGTCCTATGTCCTCAAAAACAATTTCTGATGTTTTCGAGCACTAGCATGTTTGTGAACACTAGCATGTTTGTGAATACTAATCCTCATGTGGTCAAGTTTTGATCTGAGTGTTGGAGGGAATGGAGAGGAACCACACATGCAGGCGCACATCGTGCAGAAAGTTACTCACATACAGCGCGCGAAGGCACCTGTCCATGCATCACACAGCATATGCAGCACACAGGGGAAAAAGGCACCTAGAAAAAGAAGGGGTCGAAGGCCTGGATGAGTGGTCACCTGCACCCCCTTCAAAAATTTGTTGTTGGATTGAAGAAGAAAAAACCTAGTGGGAGAGTAATGTTGCCACCTAACAGTCAAGGCTGATATCCCAGACACCTATTTGTCGCTATTACTTCTCATTGTAAGGAGACTCTCACTTATGCGCCATCCATAACCATATGAGCAGGCAGATATGGGGATGAGACCAAACACATGAAATCAAGTTTGCCTTTTTCCTTAAAATCACCACACAGTTCAATGAAACTTCAGAGTTACAGTCGCCAGATATCACACACAGATGAAATTATTGCAAGGAAAATGAGCGATAGAGAACTTCAGAAACCAAGCAGCATCATACACATGAAACCAGATAGTCGTGACCTCGAACCAAAAGCAGAATTGCATCACGAGTCCCACCAAATAATAGCACAGCAAAAGCTCATAAGTGACAATGTTCGAGTAGTCTCATCATCATCAACAAAGAACCAATGTCGACATCCTATCTGGCGCTCGGTGCCCAGACTACAAATGGCAGATCCTAACTAGCCTATCTACAATGCCGCTGGTGACGTCAACAGCTCCCCGAAGTACGAGCAGATCTCGGCCAATGCCGTACGCTTCAGGCACCAGGTATGTCTCTCGTATCACTCAAAACCTCGTTCCCCAACTCACAGCTGCCACATGCACCCAAGGACCACCATGCGCCCCATCCAGCATACAGCAGCGCAGCTCGGCTATGGCTGTCTGCTCCTTCCAGCTCGCCCGTGAGCGCGTGAGCGCTGGCCAGCGTTAGCGCAGCAGCGGTTGCGCAGCATGCAGCCAGTGCCCGAATGTGGAATGTGTGGGCAGGCCCTTCCCTATATTGAAGTGGCCTGCTGCTGCGCGCGGTATGCGGTACTGGGCCCCGGCCCAGAAGCTTCCAGTAGGCCCCACGAGGCAGCAAATCCTTAGGCCTTCTCGATTGTCAACCCTTATGCAGCTCATTAGGTGTCTTTCCTGTAGTTGCATGAACATACCTGTCATAGGATAACTTACCTTGGGGAGCTGCTCAACCCAATCCTAACTCTTAAGCAGCATTGGCCGCGGGGGGGAGGTCGATGGTCTGCTGCGCGCCGGATTTGGGGTCGAAGTTTCGGTGCGGGCCGGCGGATGAAGGTGATCGACGGCAGGTGGGCGTGCAGAGTGGTGCGCGTACCGAATTGTTCACAGTGCGCCACCAAACGAGAGAGCGCGCCCACGCGGCCGGGTACACGGCGGGCGTCGATGCGGCTGAATATCTCGACGCGCCCGCCGTCGATAGCATTTCCGTGTCGGTTTGTGTCCGGCCCCCCCACTTTTTTTTTTTCGTATTCAAAAAAAAGAATTTGTCGTTTTGTTTCGTATTGTTGTTCTTTTTCGTTCTGGCGTGTCGATTATTTTCGTTTTTTTGCCTTTTGTTTTCGTAGAACACAGTCAGATGCAGGCAGACCAGTGTTTGGCGCTCGGTCCACAGTGCAGACGGTCCGTGGGCATCGCCACACCACTGTCGAAATGTGTGAACACGTGGCGGGTGCATCTGGCCATGTTCTAGCGGGAAGCTCATTCTCATTTTGCATATTTCGGGTGTGGTGTGGCAATGCCCTCTTTATGCCTGTCTCTCTCTCTCTCTCTCTCTCTCTCTCTCTCTCTCTCTCTCTCTCTCTCTCTCTCTCTCTCTCTCTCTCTCTCACGCACACATACACACACACTCACACACACACACAAACACACACACACACACAGATGGGACGAAGTTTGTCTGTCTGTCTGTGTGTGTGCGTGTGTGTCAGAGAGAGAGATCGAGCACGAGTCTGTGTGTGTGCACGTGCGTGGGTGTGACAGAGAGTGTGCGGACAAGAGTCTGTGTGTGTGTGCGCGTGGGTGTGTGGCAGAGGGAGAGTGCGGTCAAGACTCTGCCATGGCCAGTGGCACGAGCCGAGACAAATGTGCGCCGTGTAGCTATGGTGCGTACGTCTTGAAAAAAACAAAAAAAGGAAAAATAAAACGAAAAGGAAAAAAAAGGAGGAAGCTTGCCTGTGTCCCTCTCTCCCTCGCTTCCTCCTCTTTTTCTGTCTTTCTCTCTCTCTCTCTCTCTCTCTCTCTCTCTCTCTCTCTCTCTCTCTCT